CACACACACACACTGTCTGATAAAAAGGCTTTTTTAAATCGAACTATTGACTGAAGCCAGGGAGAGTATAGTTGTGGAAAAAGGCTTAAAAGGAGTAGATTTGTGATTCAGAATTGATGATGATTTTGTTTTTAAATACAAGGCAAAGATTAAATGCTCTCCCACAAATGACAAGCCTCTTTTATTTGGAATTACCCATTTCTTTTTGGCCTCTGCCCACTGACCTAGCGGCAGCAGCTGTTCAAGGCTTGGTCTGGACAAATCCCTTTTTCCAAAATGGGTGCTGACCAGTACTTTCAGTCCTGTTGAGTCGAAATCGTCCGGGGTGTTTCTCTCTAAAAGGAGAAGCCCCAGTCGCATCCCATGGAAATGATTTGAAATAAAATCCGCCAGACTGCCCTGTGATTGTGTGAAGGACATGGTGTGAAAATGGAACAGTTTGAAAACGGCCATCGGTGGCCTGTAAGATGCAGGTTTATAAAGTTGCTCTATTGGGCCTTTAGCACTGAACTCCAGAAAGGATCAGTGCGTGTTTCACGTATTCTTATTCCTTAGTTCTGGCCTTTCCGCTGTCTGTCAGTTTAAAAGCTGTTGTGTGCCTTTCTTTTGACAAACACCACAGCTCTGCCTGAACAACTGGAAGAATTGAATGACACTCACCAGTCTGTAATTGCAGGGTAGCTGATATCAGCCAATTTCTTCAGATCTCACTGCGCCGAGAGCTGTCATGTCATTTTAACCCTCCTTGCTACTTCACAAAGCAAGATGAGATTTATTTCACATGGGAGCTGATATTCTGGTACCTACGTCCCATCAGCTTAGGCCACTGGTAAACTAGAACGAGTCCAGATTTGGCAAACTGGCAGCAATCGTACCAGACATGACTGCAGAGGTTTCAATGAGATCTGAATTAGCAGCTGAAAAAATACAAACCTTATGAGTTTGAATCTAATCATCCGTGTTTGAAATGGACAGGAGACTAGAGCTCTTTGATGATGAGGCTGTGATTGCAGGAAATCCCATTTGCCTAGAGACATCTGTGGCAGTCTTCAAAGCAGGTGCTCTTGCTGGCTAGGTTCTGCACATCATTCTGCTGGAGACGGAATTCTAAATTAATTTCAGAGTGCTGGGACCTGCATTCTAGTTCTCTTAACCTGGAAAAAAAAAAGACTGTTTTTTGAGAATAGCCCTGTAGACTTGTGTTTCAGGTTGTGCCTGAATCAGATATTGCCTTCTGTCTTAAAAACGATTTTCTGTGCTGCAGGTGCATCGCCCGGTTCCAATTTAAAGCACAAATTAAAGCTAAAAGGATCCTCAAATGTTTACTCTAATAAACCACTGTGTAACTGATTTTTTAGCTATATTATACTTTCACAATTGTTCCTTGTATTTCAACTTAGTAATTATTATTTTTTATATTGTAGGGCATCCTGGTTGAGATTATCTACTAAGAAAGCAAATGAAAAGTACAATAAGCACAGTTTAATCCTTGCAAAAGCATGGCAAAGTTAAGTAAATGCAGGATTTAGGTATAGGAATACTACAAAAATAGAGGCAGAGCTTGCTATGCAAAATCTTCAAGAGAGTGGTCAGGTCTGTAAAGATATAGCTATGTGGCGGACTGCGTGAGCCAGTGTTTTAAAGTTACAGCACACATTTTCCCAACAGCTGTACAAAAGTCCCCTTTAGAGACGCCCCAGTGAAAAGAGGCTTGGGGTAGATTTGTTAGCAAAGCTCTTCAGCTCCTGCTCTGCAGCTGAGGCAGGGGGATAGCTGTCAAGCTAATTACGCTCTCTGCTGCACACGGGCCTTGCCACAGGTCTCGTTAATTGGAACTGAGTTGCCTGTGACATTTACATTAGCTCCCAAACCTGCCATATCTGCCTGGGAAATGAATTTAAATGACTTGAAGTTGTAACTTGATCTTGTCTTAAAACTGTGGCATTGATGCCTGCCAACAGGGGGTGGCTGCTGACCAGCAGGACTTGCACGACAGATGACTAGAGAGAGGAATCAATCCACCTGCTATCATCCCTTTAAGGCTGTTTAGACTTTAATGAAAGGATGACAGTGCCATAGAATAATTGAGAATGAGCCCATAATAGATTTTTCACTATACAGCCATTTCCCATTAGTGCTTTCATTCCTAGAAATATTATAAGGAGGGACCGAGGTTGCAAGATGCGCCTGATGTAAGCGTGGCAGTTGTGGGAATTTCAAGGAAAAGACGCGTTACCTTTTCAGCACGAGCACGCAGACCGCTATCTCGGAGTAATTGCTTTGGGGGGGGGGACTCTCGGAAACTGCCTGTTTAGTTTAGCCCACAGCTGTAGGTCTTTCAGGGTGACAGCTGGGTGGTACAGTTCATGCCTTCACACACAGCCCCCTGCTCCTGGGTGTCACTTATTCTACAGCACAGAAATATGCAGGCTGCTTTTTTTTTTTTTGCTGAAGCAATTCAATGCCCGGGGGAAATAATTAATTTGGTAATATCAAATAGACTCATGCATGGAATTGCTAATGAGAGATAATAAATCAGAAGACAATATTAGGAAAGGTCCGCACATTAAGAGGTAGGAGAATTGCCATGCATGATCAGTCTGTTTCTGTCCATATGGATTATGAAAAACTCCTTCTTGTACCCCTCAATGTCAGAGTACAGAAAGGGCACAGCATGTTAGCTGTGCCCTGGTGCAGTGGATCACATCTGCGCGTGTTAAGCTGCAGGAGTGTGCCGTCAGCAATGCCAACTTGGCCGGTGTGGACAGGCTCAGTTGCCCGCTGCCTGGCAGAAGGCAAGGGGCCAGTGTGTGCGAGGTGCTCAGCTGTCATGCCGGCGCAAGGCTGCTCTTCTTCCGAATCGAGCCCCGTGCCCTTCGGAGTGCAGTGTGTTTCCCCTCCTTCAGAGCGTGATGCACAGCGCTGTCGTTGTCATGGATACCTTCCCCCAAGCTCGTTACTTCACGCTATTTTGCTCTTTGTTTTGTCAAATAAACATTGCCCAGATTCCTGCATGCCTGGGAGCACAAGGGCATCACATCCCAGGTTCTTAACAAAGAGTCAGAGATCAAGCTCCGAAAGAGGTCATATAATAATAAATAACATCACTTTATTAACCCTTTATAATTTCTTGCATCAGGAATTATCTTTTCGCATACCCCAGCTTGCTCTCCATGAGACACAGACACACAGACAGGGAGAGAGCCTGGGGTCAGAGCCCAGGGTCAGCCATTGAACGGCACCCCTGGAGTAGTTGGGGTTAAGGGCCTTGCTCAGGGGCCCAACGGAGTAGGATTCCTCTGCCGGCTGCGGGATTTGAACCGGCAACCTTCCAGCCACAGGCGCAGATCCTTAGCCACAGAGCCACTGCTCCGCCCCATTCATGGAGTTGAAGCCAGTGGCTGAGTGTGGATTGATGTCACCATCAGGCTATCTGGAGCATAATAAGTGTGGAAATCCAGGACGTGGAAACTTTGGGATGCCTTTTAACAGGGTCCTCAAAAAATCTTAAGCCTGGTGAATTGAGTATTTCTGTGTGAATGGAGAGGATAGCTAAACGCAAGGGGTCTTCTGTACAAAGCACAGAGCTTCAATTCGGCATGCATGAATATGCATGGGCTTCTATACCCTGTCCTGTCTCCTGGTAAAACATCCAGATGATCAGAGTAGGATTTTACGTTAGCCTTTTAGAGGGCGTGAGGCTGTAAGAGGTGGCTTTGAATGAAAAGAGGATCAAGAGAGAAGTGGGTTAAAATGAGAGTCACCTGTTTTAATTGGGTAATTGGCACCCAAGAGAGTGAGATCCCACATGAGGGAGAGGAGCGATTAGGATCAGCCCTCAAGTGTAATCGGCCTCTCCCCTGAGCCACTGGGTAGGCTTTTAAAAGGCTTCCGGTCTCTCTCAAAGCCCAGTCTTACTACCTCGTCATGGGCAGGGGATAGTGTGGAATTTTAAACCTCACGCAAAGAACTGGAGAACTTTTACACGACTCCTGCAGGGCTCGAGCGATGAGTCTGTGGTCCCAGGAGTCTCCCAGTTGCAGTATTTGTTCTCCCAAAAGGAGACTTGCGTGCTTTAGGCCAAACAAGTTATTTTGAACTCCTCAGGTCTTTCATATTCTTGTGAAGTATTCAGATGCTACCAGCCGGGTTTATAATTATTCCATTTCAAGCCCCGTAGCACTCAAGTGGAGTTAAAATATTAAACATGCATATAAATGTTACACCTAGCCGGGTTCTGTGAGTTGATTTTTCTTTTCCATGACAAACGCTGCCACACTCTTTGTTCGGCTTTCCACTTCAATTTGACGCTGTCATTCAAAGCCAGAAAGCATTTAAGTGCAATAATGGCCTTAAGTTGGAGAGTTATGAGTCTGACTGCCAGTTGTTCGAAGTGAAAGTGAAGACTGTTGTTTCAGCTGATCTGTAATTTCCATACTGGAAAGTAGTTCTGCAGGCCTGCTTTTTGTCTCTGGCAATTTTGGGCTGAATCCTGTTCCCAGACAGGCCTCCTCTGGTACACATCATGGCATTGTGGAAGAAACTGTGTACGGGTGACATTACCTTACCACTTCACCCGAAGGTCTCATAGTGATTCTATGTTGCAGCTCAGCTAAGTGTGACAACGTGAAGGCCTGCACTTCTGAGGTGTAATGGGCAACACCCAGTGAATATGAATTTAATATATTGGGAGAGCAGACACTACATTCTTTTTAAATGAGGAAGAATTTAAGGGATTAAAGAAATGCAACAAGGCCTTTTCTTTCCATAATTTCGGTAAGGCCTTGGTTTCAGGTTGTATTCTGAAGACGGTTGCTTTGGTGACCCAGACCTGTGTTCCGCCTCCCTAGGTGTTTGTGAAATGTCACTTTGACTATGACCCCGCCCACGACAACCTGATTCCCTGCAAGGAGGCGGGGCTGAAGTTCGGCAGCGGCGACATCCTGCAGATCGTAAATCAGGAGGACCCCAACTGGTGGCAGGTAGGAACTGCAGCAGGAGCAGGGCGCTCTTGCAAGAATAACCCATTCTCTCGCAAACCTCTGTGCAAAATATTC